CACCTGCTCCTCCAGTAGAAGCTGAGAGTCCAGGAAAACCCCCAAATTGTGCACCAGTTCTATTAGGAGGAGTGTATTCTCCCAAGAAGATAATTTTTAGGATTAGAGGACTCAAAATCCCAGTCACTCAGTTTTGCTAGACTTAAGTCAAAACCTGTTTTTTTCCCATCCAGATCTCCAAAACCTCCAGGCATTGGGAAACAACCTTGACAGCCCCACTTAGTCAGCTTGAGATGGAGATGCATAACTGGATAACAGTAGCACATTTAAAAAAAAAATATTTAAATTTATTATAGCCATCCAACTCCAATGGATTCAAGCATGTATACCAATAGATTACTTAACCCAGAGGCTGCATATAGATGTTAAATAAGGGCAGAGAGAGTGTAGAGCCCTGAAGGAACCTGCAAGCACCACCACCATAACATTGACTTGAAGTACTCTCTTCTGTGGAGTTGAAGTCCACAGGTCTTAAAGTTGCCAAGGTTGGGGACCCCTGAGCTATAGGACTAGCTCAGCTCTCCTCTTAGCTTCTGTCTCCTGTCAGGTAACTTGACAGATAGGTAAACCTACCATTGTAAGCACCCTTCTAAACCCAGCCTACACTGCCCAATAGTGTTAGAGAGAATTATTGGTGGGGTTTTTTTCTTGCCAGGAGGTGACTCTGGGCGTAGGAGAACCAAGCTTGGGAAATCCACCAGTTCCTTAATCTGACTTGCAATAATTAAGAAATGAGATAACCAACCATTCACTGACCTCATTACTGTGGCAGGAAGCTTGGAAAGCTTATTGCTTTCCAAATGTTATGAATCTATAATTCTCAGCAACCCTCATGTCTAGCTATGCTGGTTGGAGTTGCTACATGGGGAAGACCGCAAATGCCTAACCCTGATCTATCCACACATAAAAAAATTAAATTTTCTATCCACTGAGTCAGATTTCCATTCTGCAATAGAATTTTTATAGAACAAACTTTACTGAATACTTGTTTCAGATGTTGAAACAAAATTGCAGTGTGTTCCCAAGGCAGCATGTAATACAATCAATTTAAAATGTATAACAGTATTGAAATTAATACAAGCACAGAGAAGATTAATAGGAAAACCATAAAATATACAAATCACTAAACCATTATTCTATTTCAGTTACTGCTTTCTAATAGAAACAATAATAGTATAGATCAGTACCCAAAACACTTTGGAGAGATGGCATTGGGGAGAAAGATTGTTTCTTGGTTGAGAACATTGTTCAGATACAAATATTCTATAGCTTCTGAGAGTAGGATGAGAACATAAAGGAATTTTGGACTGGCTAGAGAGCAATATTGGAAACATGGTAGAAAATGCATCTTTTAATATACTGAGAGTTCTAGGATGCCAGATTTGATGGACTGCTTAATGGACTGCTAATTTGCTAGCGATAAACGTAGTCTTTATAGTAGGAGTACTGAATACTGAGGAAGCAACTGCAACTGAATTCCTGTATTGGAGGGTATGGACCTTACCTGACCCAGACAGCATCCATATGCACCCTCCCCTTGGGGACAGGTCAGGATGGGGAGCAGGGGTGCGGTCATTTTGTTTCTCTGTTTAAGTAAAAATCATTTCTGAAAGGATGACCTAATGAGTCAGGGGATGTCTTAACTCATTTTATTGTATACTCTTTAAATTTGTTCTTCTTCTATTTTCCATCTTAACAGAAGTTTATACATTTAGCAAGTATGTTCATCATTGGTACATAATTCCATTTTAAATTCTGTTACATGTTATTCTATACTTGGAAGCTTTAATCCACATAAAACCTCTCTTTTAACTGTGCATAAGAAAACCATTGAAAAATTAATCCCTCTACAGCCAATTGTTCTCTTGCTTTCATCTTCTCCATTTAGCAAGTCTTGATATTAGCAAGTCTAAATATTTTTCTTTGCTTGCTGTTTCTGTTCCATAAAATGCTTCTTGTGTTGATGCCTGTAAAACTACTTTTAGGCACAATCTGGGTTTATATCTGTTCCGTAATATGACATTCTTAACATAATGATTTTTGAAGTCTATGTTTGCCTGCAAGTTTGTCCACCTAGTGTTGCTTGGAATACAGAGCAATGAGCTATTGGAACTACTGAGCACTTCTTACATTCGTGAACTTAGTGCTACATGGTGGAAAAAACCCCTATGCCTAGCATATCAGGTTGTGCTTTAAGATAAAGTCTACCAAAGGAAATCCGCATATTCAGACCATTATTTGTATAGCATATGACTTCAGAATGTTCTTACTTTCTTATTTATTTTTACTTACTAAAGCCCTCCATCTTCTTCAGAAGATACCATAGCATATCAGAAGCAGCAGTAAATGCCACAGAAGTCAGACAGGCAGTGTGTCTAGGGTCACCTTTGAAATCAGGAACAGATGTGACTCATCACTGGATTTTCTTTTATCAGGAATAAAGGAAAGCAAGATATATATAAATCCTGAAAAATAAATTTATAAAGAGAATTTGTGATTAAACAAATTCACCTTTGTCCATTTTTAGCATTAATGGTTCTTTATGCATTGTCAAGGTCCATATATCAACGACTGTACCTCCATTTGAAAAAAACCCGACGAAATCAAAAAAGATTGCTTGAGACCTACAGGAGGAACCAGGACGGTCATAGGGCTGTATATAAAGAAGTTTCATATGTTTTTAACATATGAATTTCTGTATTTCTGTTTTTTTCTACTTTTCTGGTCTACTGTTTTCTACCTTGCTGCAAGGAGATGGTGTGATCTTTTCCCCTCTCTCTAGCTAGTCTATATCTAGACTAAATACAGTAATTGGCTTTTTTCTTTAGGTATTTACTGTTACCTCCCACTGAGCAAATCTTAAGCCTTGCTGCTGGACCACCACTTAATTTGATGAAAAGCATCAGTTTTGCTGATTAAATTGTATTTCTGGATTTTTGTTAGGAATATATACATTTAATATTGCTTAGCATTGTACAATCATTAAAATTCACATAGTTGCAGCACTTATATTTTATTTGGTAAGCTTGGCATTTTGCAAGCTTTCTTTTAATAATATGGGCTGCTTTGGGTCAGTTTACGTCAAAAAGTATCTGCAACAAAAGACCAGGTCTACATGCGAAGGTTCAGTTTAACTGATTTATTGCTACAAGCCGCTGCATAGGATCCTTCTCAACTTAAGATCAGCATCTGGTTAGAGTTAAGTAAGGGTCAATGGCAGTCAAGTGGTGGTGGTGGTGGTGGTGGTGGGGTTGAACAGTTCATTTGTGGCTATGTAGTGATTCTAGGCTGATCCCTCTTTTCTCCCCTCTCCCTGGCTCTGCCAGTCTTTCCCCTACAAAAAGCAAACACGGAGACGAATTGTGAAGATGATAACAACTCACCATCCATAAACACTATGAGCAGGGATTTTTATTTCACTTCTTGAATGATGGTATTGCAACAAGTTTCATCTGGCAAAGTTCACTCTTTTGCATTAATTGTACAAAAGCCCCACTCTCTATTGCTCCTGGACATCTTAGTCCATAATTGTATAGGGATTTTTTTAAGATAGGACTCTAGCACTGTATCACATTGTAGAGAGACTGTAACTGCATGGCAGTGCACATGCTTTGCATGCTGAAGGACCTGCATTATTACTACCTTCAGCTTTAAAAACAAAAGGTTTTTGGAACGGAGTGAGAAAAGATTTAATTAAGTTTTGGATAGCTGCCAGAGAAAAGAAACAATACTGGTCAAGTTGGACCCTTGATGATTCAGCGTAAGGCATTCTGTTTGTGTTCTAGTAATTGCATTTTGTAAGCAGAAAAATGTAAATCATTTGAGATCCATTGGCCTAAATAAACCAAAATATTCCCGAATTCCCACTACAGCAGCTTTCTATTGCCCAAAAGACTATAATCATCCCATCTAAATGCTAAGCGGTTGACTCAGTGCAACTACATCCCCTTAGTCTTCCTAAGATTAACAGCAATAGTAGTGGGCATTTAGACCTTTCAAAACGTCCCTTAGCTGTAAAATATAATAAATGTATGTCAAGATAACACGGGAAGAATCTTTCAACTTATAACAACTTCTAACTGCTTCCTTGCAGTATTACAAATGGAGGTAAATTAAACCAACTTCAAAAATCTAAAGACTTGGCCTATTGGATTAGGGCCATATTGAATTGGAGCTAGAATTAGTATTCTTATTTATTTATTTGTAGGCTGTATGTGTATAACAGTCGGATGACCATGAATTCCCTCTTTCCTTTCCCCATTCAGCACTGGCAACATCTTCTGAGTTGCTTCCAATGAAGAATTCAGAGTTTAGAAATCAGAGTGTCTCACTTGGTGAGAAGTAACACTCCAGCATACATGGAGGAAGTAGCATCGCTCCTTTGTTCTTCGGCCATTCTTTGTTTTAGGTTCACAGAACTTAATGGTTCAGAGACTGAAACTCCCTCCTACATTATCTATATAATGTTGAACCCATGCTACAATTTGAAAAAAAAGAAAAGAAATAATAACCAAGCCTAGGAGCTTGGTCTCATTCAACCATCTACAGGCATTTAGTAATGTGACTGTAATATGATATTAATGACATGCCATGGATTTGAGTGCTGATGGCTGAAGGCTTAGACTGGGAAGGCTTGCATTCACTTACAAATCAGTCGTATCAGTGAGTGATATTGGAGCAATCATTCTTCAAGTGCAGCCCACTATACAATGAGGCTAAAATGAACTTAGCCTTCCATAAATTTAGCTGATTGATTATTAATTAATTCTTATTATTGAAAAACTAATTGCTGTGCATGTTAATATATTGAAGTCAAGTACAAAACTTTCAATATATTTTTTTTCCCCTTCATATCCCAAAGATGGTGCTTTCTTACTCATTTCCATATCCAGCCATATTTCAGTTTTATCATTGAGAGGGAAAGAATATGTGCAGCATGTTTCAGTTTACTAGTGGTTTCTCTTTCCTTTCTTATTAGAAGAAAAAATATAAAGGACAAGAAGTATGGCAGACAATAGGAAAGATGAAGCTAAGGCACCGCACTGGACCTCAGGTCAGATAGCAGAAGCTTCTTCACATCCACATTCCGCAGAGATGAAGGAGCAAAGTGGCACAGGGGAAGGACTGGTCAGAAGTTCTAATGGGTTTCCATACAAAGAGGATGAAGCTGGAGAATATGGTGCGCATGGACCACAGAGCTCATATTCCAGAACCAAAGAGAATGGAATCAACGGAGAACTAACTACAGGAGAGAAAGACACTGCAGGTAAATTGTCAAAAGACTATTTTTCTTTTGTTCTTGAAAGCCTTGCTTTTAAGGGAGAGAGCATTGCAGGGAAATTTTTTCTAGGCAATAGTATCCTATTAACTTGAATCAGTTTAGGCTTCACCAGGTAACATAGTTACGTTGTTAAAAAACACCTGTGTGGGGTATTTGAATTGGGATCCAGTTCTGAAAGTAGGAAGAATGCACCGCACAGAAAGAAAGATATTAACAAGGCCTTACTAGCAAGAGCGGAAACATTGGGCTGAAGTCTAGTTGCTGGATAGAGTCAATGTCTAATTTAGTGTAACAAAGTCATGCTTCTTCCCCGAAATCTAGTTTTCAGAGTGAAACCAATGGCAGAATTTATAAAAAATGCATTCTGTGCTACTTGCAAAATTGTTTTTACAGCAGAAAAGAAAGGGATGCTAGTGTATCATTATAGTCATAACACTAAATACAGCTAGCAATGTCACATATATTTTTGTTGCATTTATAATTTATAATGGAATTAACTGAAGTTTAATTGATGAATACGTGGCCTGCTGTAGGGGGCATAGGGAATGACATTGAAGGTCAAGACGAAGAGCCACTAATAAGGCAGTGGTTGGATAAGAGACGTTCAATTCAAGTCAAGAAATTAATTTGAATAAATGTCTCAGGCCTTCCTAGGTCACAGGACAATAATGTGAGATAGGGGGGGAATCACATTCAGACATGCAAGAGTCTACTACAGGTACTGTTGGTATTAAAATAAAAGTAATCCTTCTCTATAGGGAAATAGTCCTTCCTTATATTTCTTAGTCTGTCTACCTTGCAGGGCTGACACTTGCTTTGATTAAAGCTTAAGCAGCTATCTAATGTTAATGGCAATAAGGTCTGATTTTCTTTTAGTAGTTCCAGACTGAAGCCTTACATACATTCTGTATGAAACAATGCCACTTTTATCAGTAAATTATAGCAAATCTTGGTCTATTCATGCAACAGACTGTGATTCTGGCATAGATGCCCTCCTTCTGCAGAGGCAGATACCATTTCAGTGCCTTCCAGCTTTCCATAACACAGCTCTATGAATAGAAAATAAACAGATCTGGAGAACATATTGTCATGACAGTCCCTTGCCTGCTACATGCTGTCTTTAGTTTTAGCAAAAGAGACATGTTTGAATGGAGGAGTATGTCTCATATTGTTTGGGATTTATAGATCAGGCTCAGGTGATAGATAATAAATTCAGGTTAATTGTTTGGTTTGGATTCAATCACTCTTGAAGTTTGCCATTCTGAAACAAAAAAAATGTTATATTGTACTCAGAGATGTCCGTGTTTTTTTTTGTTACCGTTTTTTCTTCCCACAACCCATCCTACTGATGAACATCCCTAATTGCACTCGTAAAGGCAAGTAGGCTCCCCTGAATAGGGTTTCTCTTTGAAGTACTGTATTCCATCCTAGTCAATGAAATTATTCATTCCATGGCAAATGTTGTTAGTAATTACAGCAGAAGGAATTTCTTGCCTTTAGGTGTCTTGGCAATTACACAGATTCAAGCAATTTGATTGCTTTTCATTTGCTTCCTTATTAATGATGCACAAAGACAACCAATAAGCTTAGTTGACATTACAAATCCAAAAGCAAAAACAAAAACCCAACCCCAACATAAATATGGTCATTTTTTTAAAAAAAAAACCCTAAACTATATTTGATCTGGTATTTCATGTATTAAGATATAAATCTCCATGGTTCTTCAACACAAGAAGCAGTGCTTGATGCAGTACATCCCAGCAGGATGGAATGCTTTAACTATCAGGAAGAACATTTTCTGACGAAAAAAAGAGGACATCTTGGGAAATATAAGTGAGCAGGATAGCTAAGGTCTGATCTTCAGAAATTAAGAGGAAATTCTGAGTAATGAATTACCCGAGCCACCAAAATTTGGGATTATACAATTAAAATGTTTGTGTTTGTGTGTGTGTGTGTGTATTTGCCAATGTCTTAACTTTAAAAAAATGAGAAATTCGTGTCTTTCTAAGAAGTACCAGTGGGAGATATATATTTTTTTGTAATAAAACAGCATCATGGTGTATCAGAAGATATATTATAGCAGCAACAGTAGAAGAAGAATCGACATGTTAAAGCACATACACTGTGTGCAACAGTAAATAGAAGATGTGGGCTGATTTTAGACAGTATTTTTCCAGTAGGTGGGAAATACTTTTCTATGAATAGAAGGGCACCACTGGATCATTAGTATCATTAAAATCATTAGTAACCTATGGAAACCAATAGTCAACTGGAAAATTACATATTATCCAATTGAACACTATATTTTTGTAGCCCCAAACCATTACACTGTGTTCAGTTTGTCTGCAAATATATATATATTCCGCCATCTATTTAGATATATTAGTGCTCAATTTTTCAAAAAATTTCACCTTGAAGACAAGTTATTCCAGAACAAAATATATAATTTTGGATGTTTTTCTATAGCAGAATACACCTTTTAAACTGCATGCACTAAGCACTGTAAATTCATCTTTGAAACATAAAAATTATGAGTTACTGTATAATTTTAAAACTTTAGACCCTTACATTAATATTTTGTAAATGGATAGTGACCAGTGTAGAAATATATTTGTTTAAAATAATGTGAAATAGATTTGGGGGAAAGTCCTTATACAGAAATAGTTAAGTGTATATTTGAAAACTAATAAAATGTCCACTGCTGGGAACACTTTTTGTACATTATTTCATTGCATTTTCTTTATAATTGGAAATAAAATCTAATCTTAGTTTGTTGTATTAGAGCAAGCTCTGAATGAATCGTAGTGTAACTTGTCAGGAAGTTTCAGCTGAAACCAGGAGAGGAAAACAACTATAGATGATGCCTTTTGGGTTGATGGGTATGGCAGCCTTAGTCTCCTGTACTCTGCCTCAAGTAGTTTTATTACTACTAAAGTGGCTGCAATTTTGTAGTAATAGGTATTTTCTGCCTGCACTATTCTTATAATGATGGGTACATGTTTGAATTGATCTGTGTATAAAGACATTGTGAAATTGCTGTCACATGGTGAGTCTAGAGTTCCTCTTAATTGCCATTTTACCAAGACTATACATGCAAATGTGTATTTTCTTCTTAACACATTCCATTGTATGTCTTCAGGGCATTACATTTTGTTATAGGACTTTGAGCATGTGATTAAGTATACTTTTTTTAAAAAGGTAGTTCTTTTGTAGTTCTACAGCGTGATTAGGAAAGTGCACATTGTCTTAATTCAATAGCAATAACAATTCAGAGCAATAACATACATCCTCTGCTACTATGACTCCACATAGATTGTTTAAAATCCACACTTTAGAAGCACTTGATAGTGCAAGGGAAATTGAGTTTGTTGGTGACTGTAATGGTATGTGGGAATGACTTGGGAGAAAGGAGGAAAAGCTACAGCCTAGATCAGAGTTCCCAAATCTTTCCACCTTTGTGGACTGGTGGGGAGTGGAGAGTGGATGATTCCGCGTGAGCAGTGGGCAAGTTCCATTTGCATGAGCGCGCACACACGCAGCTTCATCTGTGAGAACATGTGTGCAGTTCCATTTGCATGAGCAGTGGGCACATGGGCCCATCGCCCGTGCAAATGGAGCACGCGTGCATGCACTCACCCACTGCTTGTGTGAGCGAGGATTGATGTGTGCGCTTGCCCGCCACTTCTATGGCACGGTTCCGAACGGCTTAAGGCCCAGTAACGGCTGCTGCCTGGGGGGTTGGGGACGCCTGGCCTAGATCTGATCTAGTAAATGAATTCTGAGGCTGAAAGAGGGGTGGGGGTGGAGAAACACCTCAGAAGGGACCTCCTTTTGTACTTTATGCCTTTTTCAGAGAGTCAGAGTAAGGCAGGGGAGAGGCACTTTTAATGCCACCTTATAATAAAACTAAAGCTAGTATAGGTAGTCCTCGATTTATGACCACAATTGAGCCCAAAATTTCTGTTGCTAAGCAAAACAAGTGAGTTGTGCCCCATTTTACAACTTTTTTGCCACAGTTGTTAAATGAATCACTGCAGTTGTCAAGTGAATCATGTGGTTGTTAAGAGAATCTGGCTTACCCCATTGACTTGTATTGGTCAGAAACCAACTGGGAAGATTACAAATGTTGATCACTTGATCTCGGGACCATGCAGCCATCATAAATGTGTCCCATTTGCCAAGGGCCCCAGTTTCAATCCTATGACCATGGGGATGCTGCGAAGGTTGTAATGTGAAAATTGGTCATAGGCCATTTTTTTCAATGCAATTGTAACTTCAAATGGTCACTGAACAAATGGTTATAAGTTGAGAATTACCTGTAAATCATAGTTGGCTTCTTGTCTGCACTTCCTCCAAGGGCTAACTTCAATTCTGCAAGTCTGAAAGCACCCTTTTCTTCCTTCACTTTTACTTTCCCAAAACTAGGAAGGATCCCTTCCGAGAGGCGTTCACCACTTTCCAGAGCTGTTCTCACCTTCCAATATTCTTTTACAATTTAACCAACGTTCTTGTGTTTAAATGCTTTATGATTGACATGACAGATTTATTTTTCCCTGATTTAGGGAGAGGTTATTTACTTGTCCTGCAATAGACACTTCTTTATGAATATATTGAAATTATTTCTAGTGAAATGGAACGATTTTTAAATTATTCATTGAATGATGTTTAATTTAATTTCCATTCAAGTATATTGGCACATTGCATTTAAAGGTTTAAGTAATAACATTCCTTTACATATGATGCCATATAATGAAATCCCAATTTCATTGTGCATGGTTATTTTAAATAAATCAAACAGAAAATATAGTTCAAGAAGCATTTTATGGGCCATAGATGAATGCTTCTTTTTACTGGTCTCAATATGTTATTCAACTTAACCTCTCAACACTAATTCATTATTTTTCTTCAGTTCATCTCTCTTGACAATGTCTGCAAAATATTGAAGATTCTGAAGTCCACCATTTGCAACTTTGACTCCTAGCCAT